GTGTTCCATATTTTATTAAATTATTTTCCCTGTTTGAGAATGAGATTTTTCCATCAATATTTTTGTGTTTTCTTGAGTTTCTTTGTTTAAAAAAAAAAAGAGGTGGTACTGAGTTCGACCTTCTCTATTTTATAGTCAGTGATAAATACTTGAGGCCATTGGCCAGGTCCAGTTGGTGCAGCGTCTGGGCCCGAAATAAGGCATCATTCACTTGGCGCTTTTTACTACTTGAAACCTCCAACACCTGCTTGGATCAGTGCATGAAATATATATTGACCAATGTAAATAAAACATTTCTGGAAGTGATTTTGGCACTTGAATCTGGAGTATTTTTAAAGGAGTAAGTGTTCAGAAGGGCAGGGATTCAAGATGATACAACCCTTATTTAAGGTTGGTCATAGGAGCATCAGACTCATAGTCTCAAACAGTGGCTTTCGACACCACCCATGGACCTCTGCCAGTCTTCAGGTACACCAAGATTGGAATCCACTGGACTCTAAAGCCAAACTGGCCAACTGGCAACATCAATAGTCGTGAAGAGAGAAAGAGGAACCCATGACATAAAGGCAAGGACAAACTTCAGACCTGGTGCAAATGGGTTAAAGTTAAAGGGTGGGTGGTATTGTGTAATCTGATAAGCTAAAAGATCCTAAGATTTCAAGATTTCCTATGTCACCTAGCAGAATATGGCCTGACTTTATCATCAAGGAAGAATATTTAAATGATCCAGTTTCCTACGAGCTGCTCTAATTCAACACTGACAGCCGAAGTTTTAGCAAGGAACCAAAGTTACAACTCCACTAAAAAAATTATTTAAAGCAAATGGGTAGTGTGTGTGAGGGGGCTGGGGGGCGGGTAGGAGTTCTCTGAGCCAAAGCAGTTCTCTGAGCCATTTGCCATGTAACTTAATCTAGATGAGTGATCCACAGACCTTTTGCTGACCATGATCTCCTTCCAAACTTGCTTTCTTCTGGTGTCCTACCAGCGGGACCCCTGGTCTTGTGCTATGGCCTCCTTAAGTAAATTTTACCTGTGGCCGCCTCCTGGGGACTCACAGGAAGCTATATGGCCCCTGGTTGAGAAACAGTGGTCTAGAGTAAGGATCAGCATGCTTTTTCCTCTTCTTTAGTTTGCAGGGGTTGGGGTGGTGTCAACTTAGACTCTGAGTATTTGGGATGCATACAGACACCAGGGGACTGAACCCCGAATTTCAAGCATGCCAGTCCTCTGTCACTTGAACCAGTTCCACCGAACTTTCTTTAAATGGCCACATATCTAAGACTTGGTGGGTTCGTACTGTTTCTGTGGTATCTGCTCAGTTCTGCTGCTCTCGCATGGCAAACCCCAGGCCTCCAGCCTTGCCTGTCGACTTGTCCTGGTCCGTGACTACTCTGGCACAACAGTAGAGCTGTGAGGAGCCCGGCAAAGGCCCTAGAGATTCACCATCTGTCCCTTAACAGCCAAGCTTTGCAACCCCCTTGACATTTCAGGACAGATAATTCTTTGTTGTTACCCCCTGGGACAGTTTGATCCTATTGAGAACTAATCTGAAGCCTATAGGTAATGATTATTTTAATTAAGGAACCCCCCCCACCCGCCCCCCGGCCCCCTCACACACACTACCCATTTGCTTTAAATAAGTTTTTTTAGTGGAGTTGTAACTTTCATTCCTTGCTAAAACTTCGGCTGTCAGTGTTGAATTAGAGCAGCCCGTAGGAAACTGGATCATTTAAATATTCTTCCTTGATGATAAAGTCAGGCCATATTCTGCTAGGTGACATAGGAAATCTTGAAATCTTAGGATCTTTTAGCTTATCAGATTACACAATACCACCCACCCTTTAACTTTAACCCATTTGCACCAGGTCTGAAGTTTGTCCTTGCCTTTATGTCATGGGTTCCTCTTTCTCTCTTCACGACTATTGATGTTGCCAGTTGGCCAGTCCTCAGCTTCTCCTGAAGCAGAATTTACAGCTCAGTCAGATGGATGCAGCAATTAGGGTAGCCCAAGGGCAAATGAAATAATATCCCCAAAAAAACGCCACCAAAACCTACTCCCCGAGTGCTGCCTCTCTCTGACGCTCTCTTCTTTCCCAGGAAGGAGAATTCACCCAACCCCACCTCACCACTGCCCCCCCACCGTCTTCTGTGAAATGAGAGATAGTATTGATCGGTTTGGTACAGTGTATAAAATATGCATCTAATGGAATGGTATTTTGGGAGCGGTTCTCAGCATTGGCCCTGTCGAGCGAGCCCCAAGATTTTGCCTTCCTCCCCTTTTCTCCTCCCCTTCCTTCTCCTCCTCCTTAGCAGCAGCTCCTTAGCAAATTACAAGCTTTGCCTGTGGCTCGCTGGATAGTAGTGGCAGTGCAAGCCTTCCTAGTTTCCAAGGGAGACGGCTGCTGAGACTGCAGTCTTTCCCGGCAGCCTCTTACCTTTCTTGCTATTCTTCTCCACACATCTCTTGACCTTCATTCTGCTATGCAGGCCTGCGCAAGGAGGTAACGGTCGGTTTTCTTGGAGCTCTCTTTGCCGAAGGGGGCAGAGGGAGAGCAGGGTGGGACGGGGAGGCGTATGGGGACAGCCGGGTACGAATGCTGCGATTAGGGTGAAAGTAGTTCTGGAGTGCGTCGCGCGCTGCTCGCGTGCTCCTATCTGCTCTGTCTATAAATATCGCAGAGGTGGGGGCCCCACCACTGCCTCATAAGACTCAGAGGTGCCACATGATGAAAATGCAAATTCACTGATAGTGCCTTTGGGAAGCATAGGAAAAGGATGCATTTATCTCAGAGAAAATAAAATGAGTTGTTTTGCAACTTAGTTGACTAACTGTATTCTTGGACAAAATTTGGTTAAGTTTGTTATATCAGCTGGATCTGGTTTTGGGGTTTAAGGACAAAGCTTGATCATGTAATAATGAAAATAATTGGTTCTCAGGACTGATGCCGTCCAATATGATAACCGGTCTTCGTTTGTGGCTATTTAGATGTCAAGTTATTAAAAAAAAATTTAAAAAATTAATTTCCTTCTTGCATTAGCCATTTGGAGGTGGGGTGGAGGGGAATGTTTGGACCACACACATTGTTGCTGAGGCCTGCTCCTGGCTTGGTGCTCAAGGATTACTCCCCATGGTACTGGACTTCATGTGAGGCTGAGAACCAATCCTAGGCCTCCTGTATGCAAAGCAGGTGACCCAGCCCTTTGAGCTATCTCTCCACATTTAAGTACTCAAACGTCACAAGTGACTAGTTACTACTCATAAGATTGTGAAGGTGAATAACTTTTCCGTGTTGTACAAAATTCTGTAGAGGTGTGTGCAGCAAAGTGTCTAGGGGATATAGGAAATTTAGTATTTGACCAAAACCAATAAGTAGGCATTTTATCAAGAAGATTTATCTGCTCTTTGTACCAGATCAGCATAAATATGGATTGACTGTGGTTGGGCTAAAGCCAGATCACTTATCACTTAAGTGATGGGACTTAAAAATACAGACTTATCACCCTTGTTTTATAAATGAAGAAAGTAAATGCACATAAATGCACATGAAGTGACATGATTTTGTCAAACAAATAATAATCAAACAAATGACTGAGCTGAAATTAGACTCCTTGTGTGTGTTCTTTCCACTCTACTGCACTGTTAACCTCACACATACCAAGGAAAATGGGTGTTAAAATCTGCCCAGTATGGCCTGGCAGCTGTAGAGAACGAGATCTTCTCACAAAATGTAGCCACCCGTCTTATGTCACTGTTGAGTTTGTTCATTATTGATGGCAGCCTCTCGTAAATTTAAACCATTCTTTCCCAGGGTAAAGAGTTGGTTATTGGGGCTGAAGTGATAGCACAGCGGGTAGGGCATTTGCCTTGCACGCAGCCGACCCAGGTTCGATTCCCAGCATCCCATATAGTCCCCCACGCATGGCCAGGAGTAATTCCTGAGTGCATGAACCAGGAGTAACCCCTGTGCATCGCTAGGTGTGACCCAAAAAAGCAAAAAAAAAAGAAAGAGTTGGTTTTTGCAAATCTTAGGAAATTTCAGGGGATGTGAGAAGTATTCTAATGAAAGATAAGACATTTTTATCCACTAAGTTCTGTTACTGCTAGAGAAAGAAATTTCTTCCTCTGAAAATCCACATGGCCAGGGAAGCCTGATACTTGGTGGAAGGAAGTTTTCATTGTGGAACACGTGAGAAAAACTGTATAGAAGCAGAATGTTCAGAGGGCCAGTTGAGTGAAGTAAATCTATTTTAAGTAGAAGGGTACGAGAGAAATGAATGTAACTTCCAAGGAGAGAACAAAGTTGTGTTCCTAGAATAAAGAGAGAATAAAATTTTTATATGGAATCACAGTAGGAAATTGACTTTTGAAATAGCTTTCAGGAGAACTTCATTTGATATATATATAATATATATTTATATATATAGATATATAATATATATATATACATACACTGGAGAGAAGGAGCTTAAATGGTTAGCTTCAAACAGGGAAATAATTTTTAAAGATGTTTGTCTTATATTGTATTCAGTGCAAAAAAAAATGTAATGCAGTGGTCATTAATTACCAAGCATCTAATGGTCTGATAAAATGTTTTTTCTTTCTTTGAACTATGTGCTCTCATAAGGATGACTTATGATTTTGATTTAGAAGCATTTGTGGATCTCTGTAGGGAAGGGAGACTTAGAAAAATATCCAAACCATAGACCTATGACAAAAGACTATGACTTCAAGAACACACTTGATATCAAATTCTGAGACTTGGATAGAGACAGTAAAATTATTTTTGTTTCACAGACAAGTTGATCAAGGCCTAAGGAAATATTACTTACCCAGAGTCTCAGTGGTGTTCTGTCAGAGACCTAAAAGAACTAGTACTTCGGTGTCCTCTTTCACTACAGTCATCCTAGCTTGTGACAGTCACTGCCGATGACAGCCAGAGCACCTCATCATTCAAGTGCACAAAGCAAAGGTTTGTTTCAAAGCATTTTTGTCTCCGCAGGTCCTATCTGACCCCTGTCCGGGATGAGGAAGCCGAGTCTTTGCGGAAAGCACGCTCCAGACAAGCTCGCCAGACTCGAAGGTCTACTCAAGTAAGTGAGAACTCTTGATGCCAGCACATCTACCTTCCATTTAAAAAAAAGAATAGTTTCTTATTCAAACAATGATAATGAAAGCTTTCAATCTTGTTCAACATAGAATCAAATTAATTTCTCCTTACCTTTACTCATTCCCATTTCTATTCCTCCTGGTTCAGACCTAATTTATCTCCTTTCCTTCACATGGCTTATTCCAGTTGTGTTCAAGGAACCACATCATTTTGGGGGGTTGGGGGAGAGGGAGCGCACTCACTCAGCTGTGCTCAGGGCTTTCTTCTGTCTCTGTGCTCAGAGACCATATGCAGAGGTCAGTCTGAGGTCAGTCACATCCTGCATTGTCTCTCCAGTCCCTAATGGACCGTGTCTTCGTTTTCCAGAGAAAATTCTGGTAGTTTGTCAAACATTGTGGGTAGCCCAACACAGCTACTCTGGTATATATATATATACTCAGGAGAAAGGAAGACATGTCTACAAGAAAAATTGTACAGAGTTGTTTATAAGCAGTATTAATCACAGTAACCCAAAGCACAGATTCATTGTCATCTATGGGCAGAGTTTACTGATTATATAGACCTCTGTTCTTCAAGCTGTGATCAGGAGTTTCCTGGTAGTCCACTAAAAATTTTCCCCAGTCGGAAGTGGAGAGATAGTTACAGTAGGGAGGGCACATGGCTTATATGCAGTCAAGCCAGGTTTGACACCCTGTACCCCATATGGTCTGCCCCCCCAAGCCCCCCTCCCCAGGAAAAACTCTGAGTGAAGAGCCAGGAGTAAGCCCTGAGCACTGCCAGATGTGGTCCCAAAACAAAACACAACAAAACAAAATTTTCCCAATAGCATAGCAGCTACATGATTTAAGTGCCACATTGTTGCAGGATCCGGGAGGTTGTTTTTGCCTTCACTGTCAGCTTGTCGGAGAAATATTTCTCCTATTTTCCCTAGTGCGCAGGTGTGAAAAGGTTGAAGAATGCTGATGTAGACTATACTCATGTGTAGAGCTGATGGTGCCTCTCGGGGCCTCTGAGGCAGTGTGGCTTGGTGTAGAATTGGTTTTGTCCTTGACACATCAGTGACTGCTAGCCTGTATGACATGGGAGGCCTTGCTGTTTAGATCTGTGTAATCACACTCACTGGGTTTGAACAGTTTCACACAGAAACCACCCAATATCATGCCCCGTGGAACAGATGCCATGTTTATCCTTTCGTCTGAGGGGGGCAACTGAACTGCTTCTACCCTTTGGCTGTTATGAATCTTGCTGCAGTGAGTGAGCATGGGATATAAATTCTCTCTCTAAGACCATGCTTTGAGTTCTTTGGGGTATATATTTGGAAGTAGAATTTGCTGGAATTTTTTGTTTCTATCTTCTTAGTTACATTTGTTTTCTTTTTTACTTAGTTACTTATTTTACTTAATTACTTCTAGTTACTTTTTTTACTTAGTTACTTTTGTTTTCTTTCCTTTTTTTTTTTTTTCTTTTTGGGTCACACCTTGGAGATGCATAAGGGTTACTCCTGGCTCTGCACTCTAGTGGTGCTCAGGGGACCATATGGGATGCCAGGGATCAAACCCTGGCAAATAGCCTCTCCGCTGTACTGTTGCTCCTGCCCCACTTTTTTTTTTTATCTTTTCCACTAGATTAAAAGGAACTTTAGGGCCAGAGTGGTAGTACAATGGGTAAGGTGCTTGTAGTGGTCTTTAAATCCCCTGCAACACATATTGTCCCCCGAGCCCACCAGGAGTGATCCCTGAGCACAGGGGAGAGCCAGGAGTAAGACCTGAGCCCTTCCAGCAGGGTAGGGCCCCCAAAAGAAACCCTTCTAAAAAAATAATTGTGTATTTTTTTTTTTTAGATAACTTGGTTAGCATAGTATTATTGTTTTTGGTTTTGGTATATAAAGTTACTGCTTCTTCGCCTAAGACCTTCCACCACTGTCCCTTTGTCACCTCTAGTTCACCTCTTCCTTCCTCACCACTAATATCTGGAGTATAAAAGCGCTTGATTTGTCTGTCATCCCTGTGCTTAAAGACACTTAAGTGTTCTTTCATAGGAGAATGAGTAAGTACGTTAAAGAAGAGTAAATAAATAAAAGCTCCTTGTGGTTACAGTGCTGCTTTGCTGCATTCCAGCTTTGGGACTTCTCTTTTCTTCTGAAGACCAGAGCACAAAACTTCTCGAATGAGAATCCGCTCCCTCCCTCCCTCCCTGACTCCTGGTTCCCAGCTCCAGATGTCTGCATACTTTTGCCTTTCTCCAATCCCACTGCTACTCTGATCCTGAGGGGCACCAATAATTGTTGGAATGTCTCTGTGTGATTCCTAGAGTTACTTGAGAAATGATGTTAGAGGAAGAACAAGTTTGGGGGCTGGGGAGTGGTTTGTTACTGTAGCCTGGCTCTGAATTTTCAGCCCTTTTGAGCCTGGTTCTTCTCCTCTGAGTAAACATTTTTCTCATGTCTGCTATTGAGAGTATCTGTAGGTATACCGTCAGTTTGCTCCCGGGGGAGTAAAGGAGACTTCCAAAAAAGACGTCGTGAACTTTATTTGATATGAATTATTCTGTGAAGGAGAGCATCGACAATAGGCTAGTGTCGATGTTCATCTATTCTCTGGAACTCGGATTGGAAAAGCTCAGTATCATGCTCTGGTCATGAAGCAGTAGGACAGCAGGTAGGGTGCTTCCCTGCATGTGGACAACCCTGGTTCAATCCCTGGCACCCCATAGGATTCCCCAACCACCACAGAAGTGATCCCTGAGCACAGAGCTAGAAGTAAGCCCTGAGCACTGCCAGGTGTGCCTCCTTAAGCCGAAAAGTTATAGTTCCTCTACACACTGAATAGAACACGTGAAACAAAGGAAATAATCAGGCCTTTGCTCATCAGGGTATTTATGTTAATCACACATTAACATAAATGTGACATGTGGCCTCCTGCCTCTGGGGAACTTCAGGAGTCAAAGACTAGTAGATCTTTTAGGGAGTTTCCTGCTTTTTCATGAAGGGATAGTCTGTGATTAGAGTGACACTTCCCTGAACTTGGGATATTTTCTCAGGGAGTAACTCTGACAGACCTTCAAGAAGCCGAAAGAACTTTCAGCCGGTCGAGGGCGGAGCGGCAGGCCCAGGAACAACCAAGCCAGAAGCCCCCGGGCAGCGAGGAGCCAGAGGAGAGCACTGAGAAGCATGAGGCCGCCGCCTCGGACACCGAGGACACCCCGCAGGCCGCTGACAGCAGTCGGGATGAGGAGGTGAGCCCATTTCCTTCATCCGGACTGTGCTAGATGGACACGGGGTCATCTGTAGGGGAGATCGCTCACATGGCTACTGCGCCCAGGTCAGCACGTAGAAAAACGCTTTATGTCACTCGCAAAGTTATGTGAGTGCAAGAATTCAGAAGATGCTAATCCTGAACTAAGATGGTATCAGTTTTAGATGTACAACATAATGATTTTGATTGATAAATGTATTGTGCAATGATTGCAATAGGCTTTTTTTTTTTTGCGGACCCTCCACATGACATGGGATGTGCTTTCCTGAGCCTTCTCCCCAACCACACATCGTTTTAGTGCTGTGTGTGCTTGCCAAGGGTGACACCCCCTGTTTGGTGCTTCCTCACAACTAGTTGTGGTGCTGCTAAGGTCTTGCTTGTCTCAAGTGGGACATGGGGGATTTGAACTCATGGCCATATACTTGCAAGGCAGACTCTCTAAGCCATTGTGGTATACCCCCTCATAAAATATTTTTTATTCTTTAAAAATACTGTTTTGGGGGCTAGAGCGATAGCACAGTGGGTAGGGTGTTTTCCTTGCATGTGGCCGACCTGGGTTCAATTCCCAGTATCCCATATGATCCCTGAGCACTGCCAGGAGTAACCCCTGAGCATCTCCAGGTGAGACCCCCCCAAAAATAAACTTTTTTATAATAAAATTCAAGTAGAAATATAAGCACTTTTTGAATATTAACTTTATGCATGCATTATACCAATTGTTTTGTAGTTTTTGCATTTATTAACTAGTTTAATCCTCAGATCAACTCTCAGGTGGATATTATCCTACTTTAAATAAGAGGAAAGGGTCTGGGCAGTAGCTCAAAGGCTTGGAGTGCATGCATACTTTGCCTGTGGTCTTCTCAGTTGAATCCCAGCATAAATGGTGCTCAGAGCACCACTGGGTACAGCCCCCAGGGCCATACACACAAGACCACTGCAGCACCAGCCCGATCACTGAACCATCCGGCCTGAATAGCCAGGAGTGGATCCCAGTCCCTGAGCACAGCTCAGGCCCCCTCCAGCACAGCATGAGACAATGGGATTAAGAAACTCACTCATCATTTCATATGCCAAGACATGGTTAAACAAATAACTGAAACTAGGCAGGCCAGTGTCGCTGTTTGCACTCTTAAGCATAGTAATTCCAGCAAACCTAAATGTTTCCAAAGTGCCCCTTAACCCCATACCACAAGATGTCACTATTGGGATGGATTTGTTGGCTTTTGTTCCATTTCCCAGGTGGAGCTGGTTGTCAAGGGGGTGAGTTCTTTTTAGAGTGAATGTCACTTCTGGTTTCCCTGGGATTGTTCCAATTATTCCAATTATCCAATTACCTGTTGTTGTGCCTGTGTAGGGCTCAGTGCCACTCCTGTCACTCTCAGCAGCATCCAGCTGTGATGATGCATTTTACAGTCTAGAGGTTGGGAGATGATCCTTCCTTCCTTCCTTAGATCCTTATCTCTGAGTCACCAGGCTTTGCAAACTAATGGAGACCAGTGTTCTCTCAGCTGTTATTCATTGAGTGCTTAGTATCAGGTACTGTTCTGAGGCCCTAACACAGACTGTCTCCTTTAACTCTCCTTATTCCCACTGAGGAAATATTATCCCACGATCACATCTGAAGAAGCCCAAGCACAGAGGTGTTAAACACCATTTAAGATTATAGAGCTAGTAAGTGTTGTGGCTAGAATTTGAATTAACTTCTGCCTTACATTAAAGCTTACAGTAGTTTGTGGATTTTTCAGTTTGTTTTGTTTTTTTGAGCCACATCCAGCAGCGCTCAGCACTTACTCCTGGCTCTAAACTCAGGAAACATTCCTGGCAGGCTCAAGGGACCACATAGGATGCTGGGGATTAAACCCAGATTGACCACGTGCATGGCAACACTTCTCCCTGCTATACTATTGCTGTAGTCCCCTATTTGTTATAGGGCTGGAGCGAAAGCACAGCGGTAGGGCGTTTGCCTTGCACGCAGCCAACATGGCCGACCCAAGTTCGATTCCTCCGCCCCTCTCGGAGAGCCCGGCAAGCTACCGAGAGTATTCGATATGCCAGACACAGTAACAACAAAGTCTCCAATGGAGACGTTACTGGGCCCGCTCGAGCAAATCGATGATCAACGGGAGGGCCTATTTGTTATATTTTTTATAATTTGTAATTATATATACATATTTATATATGTGTATATAGCACAGCGGTAGGGCATTCGCCTTGCACGCGGCCGACCTGGCAGACCTGAGTTCGATTCCTCTGCCTCTCTCAGAGAGCCCGGCAAGCTACTGTGTGTGTGTGTGTGTGTGTGTGTGTATGTATATATATGTGTATATATATACATATATATAATTTCATGTGAGGTAAGAATTTCTCTGTCACTGCATTTTCATTAAACCAAATTAAGGCTTATTGTTGTCAGGTCATCTTATCTGTTCTAATTTTTGGGGGGAACTTACAGAAAAAATTCAAAGGGGAAATTGGGAATTTTTAGAAAATTTCTATAAGCTAGGTTATGTAGCATTTTCAGGAATTAGTAGACTGCTCCAGTTTGGTCTTTCTTTTCATATAATATTTTCATGTTCTTGATTTTTTTTTGTTTGCTTATGGAAACCTTGTCTTTCAGTTCTGCATCTTAAAAAGGTCATCATCCTTTCTATTTTCATTCCAAAATGAAATAATTTTTTACCAGCAAGGTACTACCTAGTGCCTTTAGGTCAGTTAGGAATAATTTTCCTGAGAAGCTTGCAACATGATGGTATTTTCAGAATAGAAATCCAGAGGCTATTTCTTTACGGTTGATGAACTTTAATTCAACTCAGTAGCTACCTAATGAGTTTCTGCTACCTTTTCCTGTGCTCTTGGTGATGGAGGAGTGCATTTTTAATTTTATTTATTTGAATTTGAGGGTTCAGCCTTGCTATGCCCGGGGCTATATTTTGGCTCTGTGCTCAGTAGTGACCCTTGGTGGTGCTCAGGGGATCATATAGAAGGTGCCAGGAATTTGAACTGGCATGAGCTGCATACAAGACAAGTGCCTTACTCCTTGTGCTTCTTTCTGGCCTTTATTTTGTTTTATTGAAAGGTGGGGTACACCCGGTGTGCTCGCGAACCCTATGTGGTGCCAGGAGCCATTTCTCAGTGTAGCCCCATACAAGGCGAATGCCTCGACCACTACTGTTTCTCTGACCCTCATTTTATTTCTTAATTTTTGCTGTCATGGAGGCGAGGGTGAGGGCAATTCTGTTAGGGTTCACACGATACCAAGAATCAAACCTAGGACCTCTCACATGCGAGGCCAGTTGAGCCACACCTCCAGCCCCAAAGTCCTCATTGGGAATCGATCTGCTGTCCTCCTCTGGTTGGACTTGATTCTTACCTCTCCCCCTGTGGGTCATTTCCAGCCTGTCTATCGCCGCCTGAGGTGTTCAGCTCAGGCTGACAAATCCACAACACCAGTGTCTCCTTCTGCATCAAAACCCTCCCTCTACGCCCATCTGCGGACAAGCAGATACTCAGCTCCGGATTCTGAGAGTTCAGAGAGTACCACAGACGCTGCAGCTGCACAGGAAATGGACAAAAATGGTACGTAGGGGTTCAGAAGGGGCAGGCCCCTCCTCGTGCGCGCCCTCCAGAGTCTTACAGGCCGTCCTGTGTTTTATCTTTGGCCAGAGAGAGAAGAAGTGGATTTGGATGACCAGTCCTCCAACAGGCTGTCCACTCGTGACAGGAGACGGCCCAAGGAGCGGCGGAGAGGCACAGGCATTTGGATAACGGATGTAAGTGGGTGGATCAGTGCTGAGTCCCCTCAGATCACCCTCGGCCACTGTCCTTTCTGTGGAGTTCAGAGAAGAGCTCCTCAGCACTGCCATGCATTTTGCAGATAGTGAAGATGGCACGACTGAGGGAAAGAAGAAAGACACAGCTAGTCTGAGTGTTTTGGGTCTGTTCCCTCTGGATGCCCAGTTCCTCAGACAGTGGTGGGCCCATGTAGGCAGGCAGTAAACAGTAAGAAACTGGAAATTTACACAGCCAAATAAACAGCAACAAAGCTTAGCAACTGTTGGCAGTGCATCCTGATATTCCCTGGTCAGCAGTATCTTTCTGCCCCATATTACCAGCAGAGATTCAAACTGAATGATGTAGGATGGCTACACTATAAGAATCTCAAGGAAGTCAAAATCTACAAGTAAGATAATTTATTTGCCTTGGTTTTACTGTGTCAGGGAAAGGGGACAAATAGTACAAAAATAGATGAACTGTAACTTTCAAATAAAGATAGGTGCCCCTGCGCTTCTTTACACACGCAGTGCTTTAACTCACCCCCTTTTACTATATCCTTCTCCCTCAGACCTTGTTACTGGAGTGTACTTATTTATGGGTTTGTTTTGCTTTGGGGACCAAACCAGGCAGTGCTCAGGGCTTAATTCTGGCCTTGCACTGAGGGATCACTCCTGGTAGTGCTCCGGGGACCATATGGAACGTCAAGGATTGAACCTTGGGTGGGCCACATGCAAGGCAAACGCCCTCCCCTCTATACTGCTGTAACTGTCACAACTAGCCCCATGAAATTTTTAAAAATCAAGTGGCCAGTAGTGAAGAGATCCAGGGTTTTCACTGCCTCGTTGGAGTGAATCAGAAATAAAACAGCATTTATTTATTTTTATCGAAGTAGCTTTTTATCTAAAATCATTGTCTAGATGGGAGCATTTCATTGTCATGGAACCAGATACCCTGATCGCTGTTGAGGAAGATGAAAGAAAGTCTGTTTTTCACGAGGCCCCTTTCCCCACTATGGTTCACTGGACTTGATTTTTTTTTCTTGAATGCAGGTGACATTCCTAAGCTGCCTGTCTCTGGCGGCTGGTAAAGAAGCAGGGACAGCCTCTCTGGGCATCCGCTTCCCATTGCCCGTGATTGATGGGTCAGGATGCATCATGGCTGGGAGCTGCCCCTGTGGCTTTCCAGGACATCTGTGACCATAACCCTCTTGTTTCCCTCTCTCCATCCTTTTCAGGACGATGAAACTGGTGGCTCCGGAGAGGGGAAAGAATCATGGGTAAGTGACAAGTCAATGAGGCACATTACTGCTGGACACTGCTTGCTCCTGTGCATGCAGTTTCCACAGAAGAAAGAGCAGACCCAGTGCCAGTTCTGGCTGAGGGGAGTTTGGAACCAGACGTGCCTCTGAGACCTGTGGCAGGTGCTGCTGGTGCTGCTTTTCTGCACGTCGTAACAGTGTCCACGTTCTTGGACCAGTTTCCTATGAGTTTTCTGTGCCCACTGTCAATCCCTAACACTGTGGGCAGTGTTATACAGGTGCTAAGACAGCTATGGTACCTGTCTTCTTTTTCTCTCTGCAAGTACATTATTGATGTGTATAAAGCACTCTGAAATCTTGGGAAGAAATGTGAAGAGTGTTTCTCTCTCTCTCTCTCAGGGGTCTACATTAATAGAAATGAACATACATGTAGAGTATGTAAAACATCGGTCCAAAAGTAATTTATATTTGACTTTGAAATAAAGTGAGCCACCTAGCGCTATGAAACGCAGACACTTTAAGGCCTGTCAGGAGCTGTCCTGAGTCCAGCTCTCCTGATTCTCCTGGAGTGTGAATGCCAGTCACTCAGAGGTGATAAAAGGTTAATGATTTTCTCTGTGGTTCCATTTATTAGGAAGCAAGTGATTTGGTTTTAACTAAATCGAGACTACATTTTTGGTTAGAAGTGATGTGAAAAGAGGCCTGTTTGTTGCCTAAGGTTTGTAGTCTGGAAATGTGTTCTTAGGATATCAGCAATTAACGCATGTGTAGCAGAGGTAATAGAAGCACTATTTTAATCATTAATGTGTCTTTACTTCTGTCAAAATCCAAAGAGTCCATAGTCACCTACCAGAGGGCAGTGCCTATCATTTCTTATGGTGACAAAGCAGAGAATTGCCTACCCTTGGTTGAAATGAGGGTTTCTTCACAAGGATAAACTATGTCATGTGGAAGTAGCACAGAGATGTTCTCTTGTGATGGTGTGTGCATGCATGCGCGCGTGTGTGTGTGTGTGTGTGTGTGTGTGTGTGTATGCACGGATACATGTATGCAGGCATGCACGTGTGCAGACAACTGAATTTCAAGAGGCTGGGGAAGCTTTTGGAGAGGAATGCAGAGACAGTTGCTTTGGGGAATACTAAGATAACCTAAAGAGAGAATCTGAGTAATAGATTACAAAGCACTTGAAATGGACTGTAATCTCAAGAGAGCAGGAGAGGCCATTTCAGTCCTTAAGAGGAATTATAATAAGGGAGGCTTTGTTATAGGGGAATGCCTTTTTGCTTGTGAATCTTTGTGTCTACTTTTTAAAACTTCTTCACACGGAAAAATACTGACCTAGGGCTTCAATCAAGGAAAACGGAGCTGTTATACATGCAGTGCTTCCCAAACAAGTTTATTTTAGGACTATTGACTTAGAATCGTAGGAAATGTTTCTGAAATGAGGGAAAGCAAAGACTGTTGAGGTTTGACATGAAATGTAATTGTCAGACTGATAAAGATTCCATTCACCTGATCACTTGAAGTATCCACTGGTTTTTACTGTGTGAATCTTATAAGAGCGAATAGCTTACTGTGTCTAAACCAGTTACTTTGGTTGAAAATCTCTGCAATTCTACTTCAAGAGAATCAGTATTATCTTCTGATCGTCCTCTCTCCTACACCCCGTGTCCTGCCATTAGACAGCAGAGCCCACTTGGCGGCAGCAAAGATGACCAGCCAGAGGGAAGGTCATTCTGTCTCAGTGGCATTGGGGACTGTCCAGCATGGAGACCGCTGAGAAACAAGGGAAGTTTGCTCTTGCCTTGGTTTGGGAATCAGTGACATTATATCAGCCATGAAAGCATATTGGTTTTCTTCTATGCCTTAGTGTGCTCCCCAAGAGGAGTGGAATCTATTTTAAGTTAGAACTCTTCCGGGGGTGCTGGAGAGATACAAGTTGTGAGGTGCTTGCCTTGTATGCAGCCCAGCATCCTACAGGATCCCTTGTGTACCACCAGGAGTGATTACTGAGTGCAGACCCAGGAGTGACCCTTGAGCATTGCCATGTGGCCCAAAAAAAAAAAAAGTTAACAGTTTCTAAGACTTCAGCATCTATTTTTTTAAAATTTACAATAAATAAATTGCACAGATTTGCAAATATACAATTTAATTTTAAACAACTGTATCTGTTTAATCAATGGCTGAATAAGTAGCAATACTCCTACATTATAAAAAAAAATAAAATAACTGTATCTGCCTCAGAATGACTCTATAAAAAAATATCTTTACAGCTCCTCGGGGCTGGAGTGATAGCACAGCGGGTAGGGCATTTGCCTTGAACGCGGCCAACCCGGGTTCAATTCCCAGCATCCCATATGGTCCCCTGAGCACCTCCAGGAGTAATTCCTGAGTGCAGAGCCAGGACTAACCCCTGTGCATTGCCAGGTGTGACCCAAAAAGCAAAAAAAAAAAAAAAAAAATCTTTACAGCTCCTTAACAACGCAAGTCTGATAGTTACATTTGGTATGTAAGAGTCTCTAAAAGTCATAATAAATCCTTTTTCTTGTTAAGGAAAAAGTAACGGATTCCAAATCTTAATATGGAGGTCATTTAAGTTATATGCCCAGAAGCCTTCCTGTTCAGGAGCTTGCTTGCTCTCTGGTAGGGATTGCAGAGAATGTTGGTTGCTTCTGAACACATGGGTCATGACCTTTCACCTGGATCTCTGGCCTGCATGCTTTTTGCTACACAAGAAGTTTTACCTACTGCCTTCTTCTCTCACCCTTCCTGTCTGCTGTTTCCTCCCCTGGAGCCAACTTTTCAAATCCATTTCTGTTGTACAATTGAATTTCTCACTAGAGGGCACAAGTGGTCAAGAGAAAGGATGCGATAAACAGAATGGGTCCAGATGAAGCTGAGCCAGAGTCAGGTCACTTTTGTTTTAAAGTAACCCTCGAAGAACCCAGTTCAGTGTAGTAGGGGTACTTGCATCCCAGGGTAGTAAGGGTGCTTGTCATATCTTAGAATTGGAGAGGAATTTAGAATCAGCCTAAATTAGAAACTTCATTTCACAGTTAAGAAAACTGAGGCCCAGGGCCAGAGTGGTACAGTACAGTGGTGGGTCAGGTGCTTGCCTGGGCCAGCCTGGGTTCAATACCTGGCGTCTCCTATGGCCCTTAAGTCTACAGGAGTAAACCCTGAGCACAACCGCATGTGGCCAAATTAAAAATACCTAAACTAAATAAATAAACAAAACCGGAGAAAACTGAGGCCCAGAGAAGTTAAAGCCTGTTCCAGTCCATGACATTAAGGCCTGTTGCCGTACTTGAGTTCTTCACTGGGTAAACTGCCACAGGGAACCTTTCTATTTGACTGCAGTGAAGCAGCCTATCCTGAATTAAGGCTTACCTCCTTCTCCATTCCCTATTCTTTTTAAAATTTTTTAAAATTCAGGCTACATGTTTGATTTTGTTTTGTTTTGCTTTGCTTTCTTAGATTACATTGTCTTTAAATTGATTTTGCTAGAAGCATCTTACCTTTTTCCAATGAAGGAATATCTTTCCTGGTGGACAACTTAAAAGAATATTAAGATTCAGGGGTACAGCATGCCCAGTGGGCTGTGGACAGCCAGTGAGAAGTATACATCTGTCTTGCAATGTCCCAAGGCCAGACCACCTGATTTTGCAGGCCAGACATTCCCCACCCCTGCCATATGCCAATAATCCCTAAGTTGCCGTCAGTCATTGTAAGGACTTTTTCTTTTTTCACAGATGCAAGGCATTTGCCCAACCACTGATCCAGGACTCTGTTTTTTTTTTTTTTTAAGTGAATAAGTGAATCATCACAGTAGAGTTTCATATAGAAGAATGATGCATTTATACTATTTTTAAAGGGTAATTATCTAAGGGGATTTGGGTGGAAGCCAGGATATAAGGTAGTAATATTATATAATAATATAATGATTATTACAACATTTCAGGGGAAAACTTGGTGGTTTGGACCTGCTTAAGGAGCAGGTACTGGGATGCTGAAGTTTTATATTCAGGATCTGTTTTGCAGGGAACCCCAACAAGATTTGCTATTGAGTTGGATATAGGGTAAGAGGAAAGGAATCAAGATTCACACCATAGCTTTTAGCTAAGACAACCAAAAGAGTGGTTTTCATTAAAGCGGTGGCATTGATCGTGGAAGAAATAGACTGTTGGTGGCAAAGTCGGCTTTTGGTTTTGTTTTCAGAAGTGTTATATTTGATGGCTGATTAACATTCACTTAGAAATGTTGAGAGGAGAATTGGAGGTAGGAGTCTGGAGTTAAGTGAGTATCTAGAGAGGCTATATAAACTTGGCCGTCAGTATGTATATATATAAACTGTACTTAAAGCCGTGAAATTGGAATAGATTACTAAGTAAGGGAATATCAACAGGGAAGCCAGTCCAAAGTAGTGCCTCAAGTGTCACTCTGAAGTTCATTGTGAGAAGTGGCAGAAGAAGAGACTGGCCTCTGAGAATACAATGGCCAGTGGCCATTTCCCCCCTTTTCCAAACCAACCATCAGAGGCCAATGGATGGCTTTGTTATTGCTGTTTCATCATTTTTCCCCTCCACCTAAGTGAGAATGCTCCCCGTGAGCTCTGCTCATTCTGTTGCCGGATGTTGCATGGTGGCATGGCAGAGCTGGACATCCCAGAGCATCCTGATGTCTTTTTTTTTTCCCTGTATCCTGATGGGCTGGAGCGATAGCACAGCAGGTAAGGCGTTTACCTTGCACACGGCCAACCCAGCCGGCCCGGGTTCGATTCCTCCGCCCCTCTCAGAGAGCCTGGCGAGCTACCGAGAGTATCTCGCCCGCACAGCAAAGCCTGGTAAGCTCTCCATGATGTATTCTATATGTGACATGCCAAAGACAGTAACAAGTCTCACAATGGAGATGTTACTGGGCCTGCTCGAGCAAATCGATGAACTGGAGGACGCAGTGCATCCTGATGTCTTTTAAGATCAAAATGGTTGCTTCTCTGCACCAGACCTTGTCTGCAAGCC